TGTGTGTGTGTGTGTGTGTGTGTGTGTGTGTGTGTGTGTGTGTGTGTTGCAGAACCCTGCTGTGTGCAAGCAGCCTCCCGGATGGTATTGTACAGGAGAAAAAGAGGATGGGGCTGGGTCGATCTGAAGCTATGTGCATTTCTTCTGTTCTCTGCCAAAGGTGAACCAGGTAAATCAGCTGCAGAACTTCTGTAGCCTGATGGAGGAGTCTTCCTCCCCTGACACCAGTTTCTCCTCCGATCTAATGAGGGCTAGAGTTGCCCTTTAGTGACATACAATAGAAAATAATTTTGTCGATTTTGTTTTTTTCTCTTTGGGTTGTATTTTGTTGTTGGTGGGTCATTCCGCTCAGTGTGCAATCAATAATATTTCCCTAAAGCCTTTTTGGTCCTGGTTCAATTATGCCATTTTATTTAACACTAACCCAAGGCTGCAGCCCTTACGTTTTGATAAGTGTCACTGAAATTAATGGCAGTTTTGTGTGTGTAAATCAGGAATCAGGCCAGTTTGTAAACATGAGGCCAACAGATGCTAGAAATGAAGGGACTGTTGGATGAGTATCTGAGGGTGGAATTAAAAATGAACATGCAATGCAAACCAAATAACTACAGGAAAATAAAATGACGGGGAAAAAAACAACCTTTTGAATATGGCCAAGTAATTTAACATTTGGCAGCATTGTAATTAGCCATCTTGTTGCTATTTCCAGTTATTAATTCATTTTTTTAATTCCATTCCATTGAGTTTATTGGTTAGCGAATCACATAAGTGTTGTAAAGTTAATAGAGAACAGCTAAACGATTTTTGGTTTATATTGTGAGGTTTAGTTCTTATCCACATTAGAAAAAATGTGTTTAGCAAACACATTTTAATTAAGTGGTGCTTAAAAGCACATTAACACTACGTGGAGACATGTTTTAAAAACTTATCAGTTGTTCCTGGTGAACCCTACGCTCTCTAATGTTGACCAGGACAAGCGAACACATTTTAATTTTTTTTTAACACGATCTACACTAGGGGGTAACATGTTTGTAAAACCCACTTAATTAAAATGTATTAGTCAATCTTTCTAAAATGTTTCTTTTTTCCAGAGTATATGCAGTCTGGAGTTTGTGGCCCTATTTTAATTGAAATTGATTGATTACTAATTAACAATTACAAAGATGTTAGCTAACTTGAGTTAATCTAGACACTCCACATTTCAGGACAGAAAAGTTTTTGTATCATGGCCTAGGATGAAATTTAGGGTAAATTGTGAATGGGTGTTCTGGAATGATCATGGAGTGTCTAGATTAACATTTACAAAAGAGTTAGCTACTTCAAATGAATTGGCAGTGTAGGCATAGATAATAGGGTCTTTGTGGTGTTCTCCATTTCTGATTCAGTGGGCAGTGACTCACTGCAACATTTTTTTTCCCCCAGCAGCTTCTATCATTTTTTTTTTTTTGAAGAGCTCTGTAAGCTCGAAAGCTTGTCTCTCTCACCAAGAGAAGTTGGTCCAATAAAATATATTACTTCACCCAACTTGTCTCTCTAATTTCCTGGGACCAACTGCATACAAAAATACTGCATACAATATTTTTTCTGATAGTTATCCCACATTTTGTTTCCTTCCTTTTTAAAAAATTAATTATTTAGAAGTAGGAAATCTTCCACTGTTTGTTAGCTTGGGGATGCGTCTTTCTTGTGCCTCTAACATGTACATGTCAAGTTAAACTCAGTCTCTGTCTTGTTGGTTTTCTTGCTTCCCAGATGGTGTCCCAGCTTGAAGCCCAAATAGCTAAACTGACTGAGCAGCTGGAGAATCAGACCAGATTGCACCAGGAGGCTCTGCAAAAGGCCAGGAAAGCAGAAAAACAATTTGAGACACTCCAGGATCAATTGATGCGTCTGGATGGGGAGTTGGTGTCTGGAGATGTGATGCGAGATGATTTGAAGCTTGAGAAACAAAAAGTAACAACATACGTTATTTCCATTTGTGGGAATGTTTTTTGCAAGCCAGAGATATAGCTGAGTGTATTTATTGTATTTTAGTGTAGCAGTTCTCAATCGGGTCCGTGGCCCCCTGGGGGTCTGCAAGCCCTTTCAAGGGGGCTGCGGGGCCCCGTGACTGAAGCCCTGAACCAACACCCCCCACAGGGCTGAAGCTGGGAGGCGTGGGACTGAAGCCCCGATCCCTGGTGCCATCCGGGGGGCTGAAGCCGGGAGGTGGGGGGCTGAATCCTGGAACGCCGAGCTCTGGTGCTTCCTGTGGGGCAGAAGTCCTGAGCCCATAGGCAGAGTTGGGGACTTGGAGGGCATTGCCCCTCACTCCCAATTGCACCGAAAGGTCACGACAGTCCCGGGCAGGCAGCTCCACACCCCTCCCCATCTCCTCTTCCGGCCCCCTGGTCAGGTCGGAGGCGGGAAGCCGGAGCTGGGCAGTGCGGGCTAGCTGCTGCTCTGGCTGGTGTCATGGAGCAGGCAGCGGCAGCATTGCCTTGTCTCCTGCTGGTGCCCCAGATTGACGTTGCTCCTCAGCTCCCAGCCCCCTTTGCTCCCACAGAGGCAGCTGGTTAGGAGACCCGGCTCTGTGGCTGGCAGACCCCTCCGGGAACAGGGACTGCAGAGGAGCCCTCCCAGCACACAGCCCCTAATACCCCTCTCCCTACACCCTGAGCTACCCCACTGCCTGCACACAGCCCCCAGCCACCCCCTCCCTGCATCCTGAGCTA